TGTGTGTGTTTGATTGTTTGTTTGTTTTTTTGCTTGCTTGCTCGCTCGCTCGCTTGTTTGTCTGTCTGTTTGTTTTTCTGTCTGTGTGTACGTATGTACGTACATACGTACGTACGTATGTGTTGTTTGCTTGCTTGTTTGTTTGTTTGTTTGCTTGCTTGCTTGCTTGCTTGCTGTTTTGTTTGTTGGTTTGTTTGTTTGCGTGTTTTTGTATTTGTCTTTTGCTTCCAACCGAGAAAGAACGACAGAAGCAAACACAGACAGAACTAAAGAGCAAACAAAGAAATATAAACCTAAGAACGGAAGCAACCAGAAAGCACAGAGAGCAACAAGGAAGGAAAATAACGAAGTCAGATAACACAAAAACATGTCGGGAACCACATTGATAGGCGAATGGACAGATTGACTTGTAACTAGCTGGACAAACAGATAGATGGACGGATAGGTGAGTGGGTATATAGACACATAATGAAACATAGACGGATAGACAGGTAGACAGGTAGAACAAACAATGTACAAATAGATGCACGGATGAGTGAATAGATGGATAAATGGACAAACCTGTAGGTAAATAGGCAGGCAACCGGATAGGCAGAGACATACACACATAGTATATGCCACGGTAGCCTTGCACAATTAATCTGCATCCGGGTTCGTGGCTTCTATCACAACCGGGAACCGTCCATTTGGACACGTCCAACTGGTTTAGACCCTCTAGGCCGAATAGGGGCCACGCAACCAGCCAGACAGCCAGCCGACCAACCAACCAACAAACTTCAACCAACTTACGACCAACAAGCAAAGATACAAACAAGCGAACTAACAAACACAACAACACACCTGGCGGTTTCCAGGAGCCTTTGACACACGGGGCTGCTCATGTTTGGTTTCAGGGCGAAAGCCACGATTTTCGAGGGGTTGATTCCACGTTCTTTTCTGTAGTTTGTAACGTGATGTATTTATCAACCATGTAAAACCCCAATGCATGAATGTCTCACTTGCGCAGTCTCATCATTACGACTGCGTATGGCTCAAGGAAAAAGCGCGCTGAGTACAGGGTTCATTTGTGACCCTTCCCGGTTGTTTAACCTGTTCTATAGGTTATCAGCCGTAAGCGGCTCTTTGTACAGAGTTGTACGCCATGGATGGCGACCCTGGACTACCCCATACCGAGGTGCGTCCCACACCTGATGAGCCCGCAGGCGATGAAGACGCCTCGCAATATGAACCGACTAGTCGAGCAAACTCCCAAGTGGCCAGGGAGCTCATCAGGAAGGGACAGGCACTGAGCAGTCAGGGCCCCGAATCACTTCGATCTCGGAGTGACCGTGGGGGCACTGGGCGGTGTGGTGCTCGATCTCCTTCACCTGTTGGATCAGATCGGCATCGGCATGGTGACATCGTCATGTACGACCCCCAGACCGATCTCGCAAGGGGAAACCCTATGCCACAGTCCATGAATCAGTTCAACCAACATGTTGCAAACGTCCACCTCGATCCTTCAATGACGATCAACCAGGACGTGACGAACTATCAGCAGATCAACGCTACCCAGAACAATGCCCAATTCAACCAGTTCGTGAATCAGGACACCGGTCCCATGGTCGCCCAGATGGCGGAGGCAAGGCATGGTGAGATTATTGCCGGACTTCAAAGCCAATCGGAGGCCATGAGACGCGAGATTCAAATGAATGCGGAGCAGCGTGTGAACACCATGAAATCGGAAAGAGAAGCCGAGATGAAGTACCAAAACGCCATGAACACGATCAGCGAGCAGGAGAAGCAGATCAGGGAGCTAAGGGCTATGGTCGAGCAGATGATGCAAAATCAGCAGCAACCGCCTGCTCAACCTGCCCCAGCCCCTGCGCCTCCCGTTCAGCAGGCACCAGCTACCCCCTTGGCTATCCCGACCGTTCCTTTGGCTGCATCTCCACCCGGACTTTCGAATGCTTCCTCGCACAGTTGGACGAAGGAAGGTCGGGAGCGACCCCTACGGCAAAGACGGATCCGTTCCCGCCGGGGCCGTGGACGATGCTGCTACCGGAGACGGTTGGCCTTGCGATGATGGTGATGGTGGAAATGACAAGGACAAGAAGAAAGAAGAAGAAGAAGAAAAAGAAGAAGGACCGTAGCCGACGCCGGCGACGAGATCCATCATCTTCTCCCTCGTCATCTTCGTCATCAACTTCTACTGCATCGGATGAATCCTTTCGACGAAAGCTACTGAAGCACTTAGGTAATTCGAGCGATCCGACAGCGGAACGCGTTCGTGTAAAGGAGGGTGACAGAATTCAGATTCCCCGATTCCCGAAGCCCGAACAGTACCGTAATTGGAGGATCAAAGTTAGGGATGCTGTTGTTGCTACTTCCGACCAACCCGAAAAGGCATTTGAGTGGATTGAGGCAACTTGGATCCCAGGTCAAACTGTTGAAGTCCTTCGTGATTCAGGAATGTTTGTCCATCTTGGTGCAAAGCTGGCATCGGCGTTGACGAATATCTTGGAGGGCGACCTCGCGAGGCAAGTCGACATTTTCAAAGAACAAGAAGCAAAGGAGAAACGCTACGCGAGGGGGCGCCAAATTCTTTTGATGGTTCAC